CGGCCTGCCGCCTCAGAGTGCGTATCGCCCCCCCTTCTCAAGACGGGACGCCCTTGATGGCTCTCACCCACTGCCCAACTCCTCAGGCTGCGAAGACCCCGCTCCGGGTGGGACCCCACTGCCCGCGAGCCCCGCGGGCTGCACCTCGGTAGCCGTCGTCGTCGCCACCGACGCCGCAAGAGTAGCCCGCACCCACGGCCTGCCGCCTCAGAGTGCGTTCCGCCCGCGCACAGCAGGTCGGGTAACGGCAGCCGGCAGCCCGCCCACCGCCCTTTGGCACGCTCCTATTGGCCAGAGGGAGCAGGGGTGCGCCGTGATTGGTCCGGTGTGCGGGCGGGAAGCTTGAATTAGGCGCGGACTTGTAGCGGGAGAAGAATGCGCGCATGCGCGCGCGAGGGCCTTGCAGCGGCTCCGCGTCCCCCGGAACATGCGGACAGTAATATCCCTGCTCACCCAGGCCAAACCACCAAGTTGGATTTGGGGTGTAGGTTTTCATCGCGTATGCAATCTGTAATACCCTTTTGCTTACTATTGCATCGTGCTTGTGCAAATCGTTCAAAACAAATCCATATAAAACTAAAAAAGTGGACCAAACAAAACCCTCACGGCCATCATCAATTCGATTCCAACCCATAGTGACAGGGTAGACCTGACCCTGTGAGTTTCTGAGACGTTGTAACTCTTTTCAGGAGTGGAAATTCTTCACTTTCTCCAGTGGAGAGGCTGATGGTTTCGAACTGCTGACCTTGAAGTTTTCTACCCAGTGGTACATGCTACACACCACCTGGGTTTCTGTAGGGCCACCGTGAGACTGCATATGGGAGTTATAAAACCTGTCCCGGTCCAGTAGATTCTGACTCACAGGGACCCTCCAGGACAGAGTAAAACTGGTGGCACGGGGTTTTGCACTCCTTGGCTAACCAGAAGGTCCACAGTTTGAACCCACCAGCAGCTGCTTCTCTGGAGACAGCTGTGGTTGTCGATTCCTATAAAGAGTTGGTTCTCTTGCTATGAGTTGGAATTTACTCAACTATAATGTTTTTTGGGGGAGGAGGATTTTTATGGAAGCAGATAGCTACATTTTTCTACCTCAGAACAGCTAGTGAGCTCCAACTGATGTTTAACAGCAGCGTTTAACTAACGAGCCACCACGGCGCCTTTATATATGAGGGTGAGGGTGGGGCAGGGTTTAAAATATCACGTGAGCAATTCCATTATTTTCCAATCCCATTTTCCCACAAACCTTTTGAAGCCTTCACATTTATCTACAAATATGGAACATGGAACATATTGCTGATGTCGAATGGATTTGGCTCAGAGCAGAGAATGCCAGCAAGATGTTTACTTGTGTTTCCCTGGCTGTGGAGATGTGTTTGACGGTGTGGATCACACAAACTATGGATTGTTTTGAGAGGAATGGGAATTCCAGAACACTGCATTGGGCTCATGTGGAACCTGCACCTGTGGGTCAGGAGGCCGTTGTGAGAACAGAGCTAGGGGGCAGTGCATGGTATAAAAATCTGGAAAGGGTGTGCATCAGTGTTGTGTCACCTCACCATACTGTGTGCTGAGCAAATCATCAGGGAAGCCAGATTATGTGAAGAAGAATGTGGTATTAGGATTGGAGGAAGGCTTAATTGACAACCCTGATATTCAGATGGCACAACCTTGCTTGTTGAAAGGGAGGACTTGAAGCACTTGCTGATGAAGATCAAGAATTGCAGCCTCTTAAGTGGAGAGCAAATGTTTTGAGAATGATGA